CCCATGACCTTGGTGCCCAGTTTGAACTTCAGCCCCTGCTTCTGGAGGATTCGCTGGAAGTTCTTGGAGATCTCCATGTCGATGCCCATTCCGCCGACGTGGCCGAGGAACTCCACCGCTGTAACTTTGGAACCAAGCCTCTGCCAAACGGACCCCTGGGAACAAACAGAATGGATCTCAATAATCAAACCCCATTCAGAAGCATCATCAGTCTTCACATGTTACAAACATGCACTTCCAAGCGTCTACTCACCAACTCCACGCCGATGACTCCTGCTCCGATCACAATGAGCTCCTCGGGCACTTTCTTGAGGGACAAAGCGCCGGTAGACGAGACTATGGTTTCTTCATCAATCTGTCAAAAGGGGAAAATATTTCAGATTTCAAATTCACGATGTGAACGAAACATACTGACTCAGGAAGTATGATTATACAGGATGGCGTACAAAGCAAGATTTTACGCACATTCAAAATAAAAACCGAACCGTAATGAGAAAAAATGGCTGTTGTCAACAAAAGAGAAGCTCCCTGCGGTTTCCAACTAAATAAAACTTGACAGTTTAATGTTTCAAAATTAAGAAGTTAATAGTTATTAATATTGTCATTTTACAGCAGTACTCTATAATAAAATAATTATTATAATGTTTTTTTTTCTTATACAACAGATTTTTTTATTTTATAGTAAAATACAATTGTAATTTCTTATTTTGTTTAATAATTTTTTTTAGTAGTAATCAATATTTTACCCTATATTGCTACATATTTTTAGTGTGCATTGGTTTTGAGAAGTTATCTTAGCAACATGCTAACAACAAACGCTTCTGAAATCAGTGTTGCACGACGATACTGCCTACATAGAATGTTCCAGATCGCTCACTTATGAGGTTCTATATCAGTTAGGATGCTCACTTAGAAGGCAGCTATCTATGTAGGCAGTAGGTATAGGAAGTCTTCTTGTCAATCGCTGATGTACCTGAATGCCTGGGAATGGGGTGACCTCTGATCCCGTAGCGATGAGGATGTTCTTGGAGTTTATGACTTGTTCTCCGTCAGCAGTCTTTGCGGTCACTTGATTCTTACCAGTTATCATTCCAAAACCATTGACATGAGTTACCTACGGATCGAAAACAATCATTCTGGATGGCTTTAAAAGGTTATCGCTTTACTGCTACATGTGAACAACAACGAATCTTCAAAAACAAATGAAAAATCTCACTTTGTTTTGTTTGAATAAGTGTGCGATTCCTCCTGTTAGAGCTTTGACAGCACCGCTCTTCTGCGCCATCATCTTCTCCAGGTTCAATGAAAGCCCCTGAACTAATGAAGAATAAATCATTATGAAATTACTAAAAAATTATTAAAGTGCCCTTTTTTAGATATTACTTGTTATGTAGAGCGCAATAAAGCCGTTTATGAATGTAAAGGTCTGCAAAGTTTCATAGATCAAATTGCACAATAAATAGTTATTGTTTATTGACCAATCAGTTCTCAGAAAGGAAGGAAAACTTCAAAATAAGTTTTGAAATACCTGCAATCCTTTATAATTTATTATGGGTTAAATGGCCTCAGACAGACGGAAAACATTTAAATCTGTTTTGCTTCTGCAAGTTCTTGATGTACAAGTCACAATAAAAGATGTGTATGTGGACCCATATCACATGTTTACACTTGAACTTACTTTCAATGCCTCTGCTTTCGAAATCTTTCCCATGTGCCAAGTGATACAGGTAAGAGTTGTTCAGCAGAGCCTTGAACAGACAAAAATAATCAATTTAACCATTGCTAAAAGCATTTTGGAAAAGAAACCATTTTTTAAAGCACAAACCTTTGACGGAATGCAGCCCACGTTCAAGCACGTCCCTCCGAGGGTCGCGTTCTTTTCCACACATACTGTCTGTGAAAGAAAGTTATATGTTACCAGTGCAGTCAAAGCAAAAGCCGCTGGCATTCGTGAACCGAGTGTCAAACTGATACCTTGAAACCAAGCTGAGCTGCTTTGATGGCGGCGACATATCCTCCAGGCCCAGAGCCCACAACTGTGACATCAGCATCAACTTTGACAAAACAAATGATTTTATGAATATCATTACATTTTAGTGCATTTCACATCATTTAACTTTAAAATAAAGGCCATGGCTGAGAATTTGTGAATACCCCAGACAGTATCGATTACTACATTCAAATGTGATTAAGTCCTCTTACTTGCTGCTTTGTCAGCATATGTTCTCGCAGACAGGACTGTGGCTCCGTGCAGCTTGCAGGGAAGGTGCTGACCTCGCTGGAGCGGGCAATAGAAATGGAAACAAAAGAATGTTATTTTATCATACAGATATGGTATATCTTCTCCGTATACTATTTTGACGCTTACAAAAATTATGTTGCAATAAAGGCAAACTGCAAAATTCTGTACCAGGATTCAAAAGTCTCCATACAAGTACTGGTATTAGATGAACAATGAACAATTTAAACTTGAAAAAAAAAAAATTGAATTGTTGCCTGTTTTTATGACTAAAATGGAAATAAAACTATACTAAATAGTTAAATAGTAAAAAAAAAATCAATTGTATAGAATATAAAGTATTTATATTAATATAAATTATATAAAGAAATAGATCAAATAACCTATAACGAAATATGTAATTTTTTACTAAATATAAAAAAACCAATAAAAGGGCAAACACACATTACAAAATTAATACAAGTTAAATATTAATATATGAATTAGGCATTTTTTCTTTCGTTTTATTTCTTTACGAGATCACTGCTAATTAACATCTAATACAACAATATTAAGGCACAGGAATTTTTTCTCTTCAGTTTTTGGTTCATTATGTCTGCAGACTTTGCACTGTCTAGTACTGATGATAACCACAAAATTAACATAATTAATTTTGTTCAATAAATCTAAATATAGCGGTCTCAAACCCTAGTTTCCAGTCAACAAGTACCCAGACAGCAGTTTAGGGCATCACAGGCACATTCGAGATAGTTAGCAAAATAATGTTGTATTTAAACTCGCATGTGACGGTAAAAAGGTAATAGTAAAAATGATGTGACCTAACGTTATATATCAAATGACCATGAAACTACACGCCCCTGCAAGTTCAACCAATGATGACAGATTACACAACTCAACTTAGTTGTGTAAATATCCATTGGCACTTTCGATAAATGAGATATAGATACAAGTAAATTGAAGTAGCTAAATACACAAACTCATTCTGCTTCGCTTGTTTATGGGCTGACAACTGTGCACGCTGACAAGCTAACGTTAGTATGTCGGGCCTACACAGTAATAACATTGCATTTCTGTCTAAACGCTTTCTTTTCATTGTTATGGCCTATGGATAGATATTTAAAGTACAGTGTACTGGGGCACATAAAGAGCCTTTACCGTGGCGAGTGTGCGGTATAGATGGTTCCAGGTCTGCATTTTGACTGTACGTCCCTTCCGAGACCGCTTCACCTACAGCGATCGGTGTGTCCAAGGACTCGTCAATTTACGCATGCGCAGAACGGAAAGCGGTGAGAGTCGCTGCTTGATGATGTCATTCAACCAGCTCGTTTCTCAATCCGCCCCTGGAGAAACTTCTTCATACATCTCACATTCATCGTAGTAAACCCGTTTTCATTGTCTCAAGCAATTATAATTGCCGATATTGCCGATTTTTTTTAATCTTCAAAGAACTCTAACATTCTTAAGATTGTAAAACCTGTTCCGCCTCAATTAATAGTAATAAAAAAAGAAGTCTATGTATTTTCAGATGTAGGCCTGTAAATAAGTGTAACATATATATATGTATGTATATACAATGTTAGCTCTGTCTGTACAAATGCGCGCGCGCGCGCGTGTGTGTGTGTGTGTGTGTGTGTGTGTGATGGCAACATAAAATGTAATGGCAACATCAAATCGTTGTCAACTGAAACAGACTCAATAGTTGTAGTTTGTTGCTAAGTTTTCTACACAGCTTTGAATGCAACTGATTACATGATATTCATAATATTTTATATTCATTAATATACATGTGAACAAAATACACACTGAAATTCACTCTGAATATGAACGTAAAGCAAATATTGTGATATAATAATAATAATAATAGAATAGAATATTAAAATATTTCAAATAAAGTGCATTACTATAGTACGGAAGAAATAGTCCCCTCTAGTGGTTAGAAAAGGCAACTGATACTCGCAAATTTTTTTTTTACAAGAAATGCTAATAAAGTGGGATTTTTCAACTACGTATGCTAATTTTCGTGAGAGTAAAGTAACAGTCACAATTGTTTAAACCATACAAAAATAAAAAGGACATTATGACGTGTTAATTTTCTCTACTGAGATCCTAGATTTCTCTCAAAAAACATACATTCAATAAAATGTTAGATTTGTCATATTTCAGTTTTGCTGGATTTAGTATCGAATTGTAGGAATTAAGTTAAATATATTATCTTACTAAAATTAAATACGTTTACAAACAATGAAGTAACACAAAATTAACATATTTTATATTACACAAAAATGTAAAGTTAGAATGTAACCCTATATTTCCCTAAATGTAGAGAAATATAGGGTAGCCAGTAACACAATCTAAAAAAAACAGGTCGACTTTACTTTCCCTCAGTTTCGTGTGGTAAATGAGATTGAAGAGGATTACACCGGAAGTAGGGTTAATGGTTCAATCAAATTAAGCAAAAAGGGAGAATGTGGTGGATTTAGGGCCTTTTTTTCATACGAGAGTGAATGGTGGCTGAACGATGCTCAAAATAATGATGACAAAATAATATGACAAGATAAAGAAATTCATACAGGTTAGGTACTTAAAACGTTTTCACCATGAACGCAAAGTGAAATGCAATAATAATGTTTCCCCTGCCTACTGCAGCGATTAACTCACTTAATTCACAAAAGACAGACGTAAATTAATGAATAAAACAACTCTTGCCCCTGACGTTTGCCACCCCCGCTGCGCATGTGCGGTATCATAGCAACAGTGATAAACAGACGGACAGTGGCCAAGATGTCATCGCCGCGGGAGCACGAGGCGTCAGAATACCTCGAGAAACACAAAATTATTGAGTTGATGGATAATTTAACCAGTATGCTCTTCTTCTACAGACCAGGTAAGACTTGTAACGCGTCTCTTAATAGATTTGTTACCATTATCGTATACAAACTGTGGCATTTACCTTGCACAGATTTAATTGGAATTTGTAAGTTTGAAATGAATAGATGACTGATCAGATACAGTCTTTTGTAGTGCTTAAAAATCTAACTTTAGAGTTGTAACCAATTGTTTTCTTATTGTTAAAAGTAAAGGAAAGACAAACGTAATGGCCAATCTCTCATGAATCCTGCCATTACAGATCGTCCAAGGGAATTTCTGATCGACCAACTGGAAAAGCTCAGCCTTTCCAAAGCTCGTGAAGGAAACACTCCGTGCCTCTTCAACGAGTCCAATTTAGATGCTCTGTTTGGAGTCCTGGATCCTTCCGATCAAGGCTTTATTACTCACGGTCAATACAAAGAAGGTAAATCTCTCTGAATGTTGCAGAGGTTGTGAAAGCCTTTGTCCTTTTGGGAAAACTAATAAAAACAATCATAGGAAAATGTGAATGCACTACAAGTAACGTCAACTTTGGATAAAAGTGTCTGTCAAATAATGCATGTTAATGTAAAATGTACCAACAGATATGTTTCTGAATGGAGCATTAATATTATATTGTTTTATATTCTAGTATTTATATTTATATTTAGTGCCATCAAATCGATTAATTGCATCTAACAAGCTTGTGTTTATTACGTATTACTTTAAAGGGGTGGTAAAATTCCATTTTCACAAGATGTAAAATAAATCTCGGATGTAATAAAAATACCCCACAGATATTTTTATATAGCATGTTAAAGAGATAGTTCACCCAAAAATGAAAATTAAGTAATTAATTACTCACCCCCATGCTGTACCAACCCCCTAAGACCTTCGTTCGTCTTCGAAACACAAATGAAGATATTTTTGATTAAATTTGAGAGGTGGATCACTGCTATGGATAGCGCTGCTGACTTCAGTAACCCGGATGAGCCTGCGTTATCTGAGCGGTTGTTATCTGGGAATAACATACCACTGGATGGTGTGATTAACCAATCAGAATCAAGTATTCCACAGAGCCGTGTAATAATAAGTAGTATGTCATGGAGAAACACTGACCGAAGTAATACCCTAAAGTATTGCGACTTAAAGAGATGATTTCTCTGAATACCGTTCCAGTTGTTGTTTTGTTTATAATTCAAGAGTATAAGAATTACACTTGCGGTCTGACTCAGTATTATACGCACAACATTGCTTCCCCGCAGCACTGAAGACACTTGGCATCAAGAATTTCAATGAGTTCCCGGACAGAGCCAGTGATGACAGGATATCACAGGAGACGTTCATAAGAGAGGCGTAAGTATAACTACTGCTTAAAAAAGTAATGTGGGATCATTTGAATATTTGAATACCTTATGCAAACACTATACGCCCATGCTTTATTGTAGATATTTGATTAAATGAGCATGAGCTCTGAATCTATTTTGCTTATAGTTTATCCATATTTCTCTATTTCTCTGTTTAGGACAGATGGGCTTGTCAGAAGTTCAGCAACATTCCAGCTTTAGGTGACCTCAATAACTCCTTAAAATACGTATATGTAAAATAGCTTTTGTAATGATTTATATAAAATACAGTATGTATGCATTTATAGATAAATATGAAATAAAACGTACCAGCTGCAAACCATAAAACTTTGTCAAACTTTGCTGGCTGGAGGACCAAAAGGATGGTAAAACATGAATAAAATATTATAAAATATTAAATAATTACAGTATAATGTATTTATAATATATTACAATTATTTTATATTAATTATAAAAAAGGGAGGTTTACTGCGCTTCTGAAAAATGCCAAAACGATCCGGTGCAACCAGGGCAGGACAAGATCAAACAGAACGGGAGAAACACCGGTGCACAGATCTTCTTGGAAGCAAATTTATTAGAGGTGCAACAATTGACTAACGTTTTGATGTATAGTTGTACATCGAAACGTTAGTCAATTGTTGCACATCTAATAAATTTGCTTCTAAGAAGATCTGTGCACCGGTGTTTCTCCCGTTCTATTTTATATTAATTATTTTATTTATTTTTTGCATGTATGTATTTTGACTAATTATCATTTTAAAGACACTGAGTGAAATATGTCTTACAATATCATACATACAGTGAACAAATATACAACAGAACAGAATTGTACTTTGTCTCTCCATAATTATTCAGTGAAACTGAATAATTTATGGCAACCTCAATATTATAGTTTGAGTGAGTTATAACCATAACCTCACATTAAAAGTGTTTTTTTAAAATTTGTATTTAGCTAAAGCTCATGCAAAAATACATTTTGCCAACTTACTGACCTTTTGCATTCATACATTATGAAAATGTGTTTTTTTACATGAGCTATTATGCAAGTGTTTTTAACCTTCTACAGATTAGTGCTTTCAAATCGATTAGTCACATCTAACAAAGTTTGTAAATATATATTTGTATATATATATATATATATATATATATAATATGACTAAATATTAATATATGCAATAGTTGATTACTAATGATTACTAAGCAAATGTTTATTACTTTCTAAGAGCATAGTGTAACTATACTGCCCTACAAAGCAAAAAGGCAGTAACTACGCAGAGTGCAGAACTGAGAAAAATGACTTTTGCTAGGGCTTTTTGCAGTTACTGTACAAACAACTACCATTTTTCTCTAAAACGACACGCATTTAAGATAAGATGTTTTGTCACATAACAAAGGATGCCTTAAATGTCATGAAAATTGTAATAATTAATGCTTTACCAAAACTGCAGTTACTGCCTTTTTGCTTTGTAGGGCAGTATAAGGATACTGGATTGCCAAGGAAAGTTTTGTAAACACATGTACAAGTGAAGGAGACAACGGCTATTTAACTGAAACTTCTGTCATCAACTGTTTTTGTTTATACTATGGGTGTGTCTCAATCAGCTCCCCAGCTTCCAAGGCCGTGGATCAATATTATACATGAATTTAGGCGCTGTAAGGACCCTGGCTCACTACACATTAGGACACTGATGACTCTGTTTCCGGCGACACGACAATGTCCTCATTGTACAGAATCACGACTGGTATTTATGAACAACAGCAGCAATGACCTCTTTCTGACATGTTTTAATGTTATTTAAAGTACAGTATGATAAAAACTTGCATATATACTTGCAACATTTCAGCTCTAAAAAATATAAATAATAGCTAGGTTATGTTCATTAACTCTAGCGGTGTATGTTTAAGCTGAAATATGATTAAGTAATGGTTTGTATTTAAAAAATAAAATAAAATCTATCGTGTGTCGGTAAGAGGCAGCCTTGGCCTAATGGTTAGAGAGTCGGGATGGTAACACGAAGGTTGCGGGTTTGATACCGGCAGGACATGACTGAGGTTCCCTTGAGCAAGGCACCTAACCCCCAATCGCTTCCCGGGTGCTGCAGTGAATGGCCACCCACTGCTCTGGGTGTGTGTGTGTGTTTACAGTTTGCAGTGTGTGTTTGTTCACTACTCCTAATCCTTAAATGCAGAGGCATATGCCTTCGCATGTCACATTTTATGTGCAGTGAGTTTGCTCACATGACTTATGTTTCGCGCTTCAGAGCCTACTTTAAGGTAACGTGTGCATCGATGCTCCCTGGTTTTCACGGTGCATTGTGGGACTTTTTAGGGAGCGAACGGTCAGATTTTCTGATTGAGACCGGCTTTAAAATGGCCGACTCCCTGATCAGTGCCCTGACTGAGTTGATTGACACACACCCAATGGCAGTCAATGGGGTCCAGTATTGCTTTGGATCCCATTGACTTTTTCAATAACGTTACCGTAATGTTCTACAAATGTCATTCACCTTTTATTGTTTTTTTTATTTAAACTTTTATTATACACAATCTTGACATGTCAATGGCATAAAATATGCTTTAAACTAAGTATATTGTAACACACAACTATTGGGTTCATTTCACTTTTTATATTGACTGAGACGTTTTTCGAAATATCTTCTGTGTTCCATAGAAAGTGAATGGCGACAGCATTTTTTTTTTACTTAACTATCCTTATAATACAGAAACATAGGGAAATTACCAAAAAAAACCTGAAGAAAAATACTTTTTTTTGCACTTTGTGTCTATAGAAAATCGATAAATGTGTGCATGTCAAATAATTACATTCCTACGTATTATTCTTATTTTATTTTTTAAGATTATTCAATTAATTTTAATTGTTTTATTTCTTAAAATATTTTTAAAGCATAAATAAAACTGTTAAAATAAAGAATTTCACAAAAAATGTAGCTTTAAAATGATAAATCAATAAATATACTGTGCAGAGTAAAGATAAAAAGTATATTGTGACACTTTGTGGTTGCCAGACATCAGTGGATCATGTTGATAGTTCTTGTGATTCTCTACACGTGTGGTCACTCTTAGGACACCTGTGGATTTGAGGGGAACTGACTTCATGCACCCACTAAAAATCACCAAACACACCAGTTCAATTGCAAAATGACAATACAAGTGAAGTTAGTTTTAGGAGCATTTATTTGCAGATGCCACTCGGTTGATATTCTTTGTTTAATGCAAATCAACCATGAGAAAGTCATATTGATGTGAAAAATATATCACACCAATAAGTTAACACATTTATCATTGGACACCAGTTTACCTTTGTGTAAACTGAATCAAAACTGTTAGTAATTAAACCGACAAAATACAAAAGCCCCGTGGAGCGAGTGACTGAGAACTGCTTGCGTTACCAGTTCAATGGGAAGAACAATGTTATGCTAATTATGGTGGCAACGGTTCAGAGTTGTGAATGCATGCGAGGTGTTTGCTGTGTTACGATGTCCTTTCAGTGATACCTGTTACACTGAGTGTAAGCTATGACTTTTGTGTTTAAACAGACTTAAACAGAGACTAAAATCACATGGCCTAATTTAAATAATAATAAAAACTAAAGGAGATTCTCCAAATAGAAGAAATATTCTATCCCCTGGATGATTAAAAATAAAAGAATTGATTTATACCGACTGTAATGTAAAAGTACTCTATTGTGCCTCTAATAACAGTTTAAAAGTGTTGATTGAATCAGCCACTGCTCCTCTATATTTTGGGCATGTCTCATTGTTTCACTTTATATACTTTTCCCTTAACATTTTTTAAAAGCTATTTAAATAATTATATGCACACTTCACTAAAACCACAGCAAATATATACTGTCCACATAACTTTTGTCCACTGTAAAAAAAAAAATCATGATTTGTTATCACAACATTTTTTCTATAGTCAAATCAACTTAAATAACTCATGTGGTTCAGATAACATAATATTTTGAGTTTCTGTGAATTAAACTAATCTCCTTCATTGTATTAACTATTTTTAAGGAACTTAATAAGGTAGCCAGGTTACTTACTTTTTAAAGTTAAATGAACAATAATTTAATCGGTTTATGATGTAAATAATAACTGCCAGGAAATCACATCTCTTAAGAGTTTGAAGAACAGAAACTCATTCTTTTAATTTTTTGAAGATCCAATATATTTGTCATCAACAAAGCTGCTTATTATTTAAGTATTTTGGAAATTTTATTCAGAAATGTATTTATTTGTTCATTTGTTTGTCAAAAAAAAAATCAAATAATTAGTTGCTAAGGCACTTGTTGTGTTAGCAATTCCATCATCCCCTTGACGTCATTACCATAACACAACAATATCCAAAACCCACAACAGCAGTTATTAAAAGCTACTTAAGAAGAGCAAGGCCCGTTTTTATTCCAGGACAAATACACGTTTAACAAATAAACTTTAAAGAAGTTTTTATTTTTCAGATTTAAAGTGTTAAAAGTTTGCCTAATTGTAGAATCACTCATAAATAAATTCAAATATAGATTAAAAATCATTAAAATATAATACAGGAAGGGTATTTGGATTAAAACTTTTTTTTTAAATTCCCCATAAATTCGCAGTCTTAATCGCGAAATTCGAGACTCGTACTCGTTTGGAATCGCTGCATTTGCAATGCTTTTATGTGGGTGTGTGAAATTAAAAACGGCTCGTTAATTTCCTCAGTTAGTGGCACGGGTTGTGGGGGGTCATATGTAAACCACCAACCCGGCGACAACGTCGGGTGCCACATTTTGGTGGTCTCGAACATCCATTGCACCTTTGCGCAACAGCCGCTTCTCCGCCGAGAGGTCCTCGCGTGCACAAAGGCAGCTTCCGAGAGGGCAGCGTCAGCGCGAGAGGCGAGAGAATCCACCTCCGGACCGCGTCCGACCCTCCCAACTCGAAATCCAGCGTCGTTTTTCCAAAAGGTAAGAACTCTGCGAACATATCTCGGTTGATTTCAACCGCGGGAGTTGCCCACTCGGGCCCGGAATCGTACAGCGGACCAGTGTCGTTTCCTATCCTGCGCGAGCGTGGTTGTTCTCAACAGAAAATGGCGTCACCGTTCGTGCTGGCTGTGCAACCGGGGAAAACGCACTTGTTCAGGGCGCTTAAATTAGAGCGAGAGTTGATTCGGACTCGCCACGACTGCCCGCGGAGATAGAGCAAGTCCACGGGCCTACTTGGGGAGTGAATACGGCACTTCATAACAAAACACCGAAGAGGAGAGGACGCGCAAAGGCGGAAGGGTCACCAGACCTGTGCGCCAAAGCGGCTTCGGGAAGATGGCACAGCGCCGCAAAGCGCAGCACTTTATCATTCGGACGTGCCTTGTAATCGTGTAAATCCGCTCG